ATCTTCTCTTTTTTTGATCGATACACATCCCATAAAAAAGATCGATAACTTGATCTAAAAATGATGGCTGAAGACAATTTTTCAATCGAATGATTACGTAATTTTTCTTTTGTTTGAGAATCCATGTAATTTAAACATGATTTTATTTTTCTTTTAAATGTAAAGTATTTGTTTTTATGGTGTTTTTTTGCCATGTCTTATTAAAGTGAATGTATAAGAATATTAATTAAAACAAAATTGTTTAATAAAATTAATCATGAAGAAACATGTTTTAAAAATATTATTGAATATTTTTTTATGGATGAAAATTAATAAATTAAATATAAAATTAAATTTAATTATAAACAAATAAATTAAAAAAAATATAAAAATAAATTAATTCCTTTTTTAATTAATAATTATTTATTAAAAAATAATATTTTAAATAGAATATTTTATTTTTAAAATTATTTTAATTTTTTACCAATGAAACTAAAAGGTGGCTCATTCAAAACATTAAACTTAGATTTAAAATTGTACCACAACATTCCATTTAAAAATCCCACTCCAATCCAAAGAAAAACACTTCCTGGCCTGTTGCTAAACCAAAACATAATAGGAATCGCAAGAACGGGGAGTGGTAAAACATTAGCATTTCTTATACCAGCAGTACAAAAAGGCTTTGGCAGGCAAGAAAGTTCTTATTGTTATGCCGACAAGAGAATTAGTCAACCAAACTTTCAAAGTTTTACTAAAATTAATTCAAAATATTAAATTAAAAGTAGAATTACTTTACGGTGGTACAATAGAAAAGCAATTAAACAATCCAGACATAATAATTGGCACCGTTGGAAGGGTTAGATACACAGATTTGCCTCGGATTGATTTTTTAGTGGTTGACGAAGTAGACAGAATTTTTGAAGAAAAAAGTTTACAAGAAGATTTTTTGGGGATAGAAGAAAAATTAAACAAAGACAGGCAAACAGCTTATTTTTCTGCCACTCTGCCAGAAAAGTTTATTCATTTAGTATCTGATTTTTGAGTTAATCAAAATTGATGAACAACTTAACGAAAACTTACAACATTTTTTTCTTTTTCGTTCCTTCATCAGAAAAAGAAGCTGCTTTGTTATTTTTATTAGATCAAATTAAAGAAAAAACCATCATTTTTGTCAAAAACTAGGCACACAGTTGAATATTTGGCTGAAGTTTTAAAGAAATATTCTGTGACTACAATTTATTCTTCCATGGATCAAGAATGTAGAGAAATTTGTTTGAATAATTTCATTAAAAAATAAGGTACAAATTTTGATTGTAACAGATTTAGCCTCGAGAGGATTAGATATTCCATTTTTGGATGTGGTAATAAATTATAATATGTGATTCTAAAACCTTTTTTATAGAATTGGTAGGGTTGGCAGAAGTGGTAGATTTGGTAAACAATATTCTTTGATTTCTTACAAAGATGCTTTCCATTTTTACAAACTAAAAGAGAAATTTATGTTAGAAGAAGAGATTGGCTCAATTCCTAATGATTTGTTAAACAAATTTCAAGTAGAAATAGATAGAATGGATCTAAAAGATTTAAGAAACAGAGCATTTTAGGTGAAGAGAAAGCTAATAGATTTAAAAAACAAGAAGAATTAGAAAACAATTACAAACAAGAAATCAAAAATATTTTACCGCACAGCATGTTTAAAAGAAATGATGAAAGAGAAAAACTAATTTTACAGATACAAGGCAAACTAACCAAAGAAAAAGAAGAGGTAAAAGTTGAAGAGAATATTTACAAAGATAGGAATTATATTTCTTACAGACCAAAAGTAATGTGTTTACTGACTGTGTAATTAATTTTACTAAAGATGATTTTGAGAAAAAAAGTAATTTAGAGAGTAAAAAAAGAAGGATGGAGAAAAAGAAAGAATACGATTATCAAGGGAAAAAATAAAAAATAAATTAATTATTTTACTTTTATACAAATTAAATTTATTATTTTTAAGTAAACTAAAAAATAAATGAATATTTTACAGGGTTATTCCTCAATGATTACAAAATTATAACTTAATTTCTACAATGATTATAAATCAATTTTTACAAAATTATTAATTATATTTTTATAATTTATATAATTTAATTTTTACAAAATTATAAATTAATTTTTATAATTTATATAAATTAATTAATACAATTTATATAAATTATATTTTACAAAATTATAACTTAAATTATATAAAATCATAATAAATTCAAAAAATAAAATAATTTTATAAAAACAAGAATAAATTAAATGTAAAAAATTTTTCAAAAGAATAAATATTCTTCATTATGTATTGATTGTTTAAAATTTAAAATATTTATTTATAATTAGATTTAAAAAAAACAATTGTGCTTTTGTAAATATATATTACAGGCCTACTACCTATTAATCTTTAAGCATATCGAAAACAGAAATTATGTGTTTTTTTTGTTTTTATTTTGCGTAAAATGTATTTGATTTTACAATTGATTGATTTCTTGTTAAATCTTTTCAAATATCCCTGCCTTTAATTTAATGTTTAGTTCAATTTATTGTTATGGCAAAAAAACTTACGATACCAGATATAAGGCAATTTTTAGTAATGACTAAAAACAATACGAAATTAAAAGACATAGCTTTCTTGGCCTTTGAAGTCAATGAATCTACCATCTACATATGGCAAAATAAATTTTTGCCTGCAATAAATTTTATGGAAGAAAGAATAGGAGAATGTTTTAAAACTTTAGGACCTAAAGAAAAAGACATCACAGAAAGATATGTAGCAATTTCCGATATTATTTCTCTTCTGATTGTTCTTTGACTCAGACTGGGATACAAAAAGCTTATGGAGAAAGGATTATATGTTTCACAACCTATGGTCTCAAAAAACTTTAAAAAAAATGGACATCAGCAGGAAAAGACTTGTACTAATTTCTAAGTAAAAAAATTCTCTGAAAATATTCAAAAAAGATATCGATTTTAGTCAATACGAAGGTTCAATGATACGGATCTTTATATTAGATAAAACGGGATTTAATCAGGAGAATTATGGTTATATCCCACAAACACTTTAGATATTGTAAAAGACGAAAGGGCAAAATGACATTTATTGACATAATCTTGCGAAGAGTTTAAATTATAAAACAGAGTTCAACTCAAGATTTTGATAATTTTTTATATGTTATTTTAAATTATAGGTATATTATTACTTTGGATTATTCACAAACACAGGATTCAAAAATAAACTAAGGATAAACATTAATTATGACTATATTTATTAAATTAATAGAAGAGGTTTTTATTTTAATAATATTATGATAATTACTATATTTTGTGGTATATTAGAATTTTTTTTATAAACTTTAAATTTACAACAAGTTATTTAATTTTAATTAAAATAAATTTACTATCAATATTATATATTCAACATATTAATTTAAAACTATTAATAAAAACTCATACTTATTATGACATTCCTTATAAATTCTTATTTTGAGGTAATACTTATTTAAATAAAATTATTAATAATGTAAATTAATATGTTATATTAATTTAAAAATATATTATTTTTTTATTTATTCTATAGATCAATTTAAAATTAAAAAAATTTTTTACATTAATTTATTTTTTTTTTATAAATTATTTTATTTTTTGAATTTATTATATTTTATACAATTTAAGTTATATTTTGTAAAATATAATTTATATAAATTTATAATTAATTTATATAAATTATAAAAATTAATTTATAATTTTGTAAAAATTAAATTATATAAATTATAAAATATAATTAATAATTTTGTAAAATTATTTATAATCATTGTAAAAATTAAGTTATAATTTTGTAATCTTGAGGAATAACCCTGTAATATTGTTTAAGGAGTTAAAATTACTATTTAAGTAAAATTGTATATTTACCTGAAAACATCTTTATTTATTTTATATTTTTATGCTTTTAATGTTCTAGATGATTTAGAACTAAACAAGCAATTAATGTCTTAATGACATAAAAGTCAGTGTCAGGTTATCATTAACATAATAGCCCTGGCATAAATATAATAAATTATAATTTAAGTAAATTATAAAATAAATTATCTTATTTTTGAGTAAATTAATACAATAAATTATTTATTTATAAAAATAATGACATTAAATTATATTATTTATAAGTAAATAAAAAATAAATTAATATTATTTTTAAGTAAATATTAAATAAATTATTTATTTACATTTATTGTTCATCTTTTATATTTTTGATATATTGTTCCATTTTATTTTTTAACAAAACTGACACTTCCTTTTGCCACTAAATTACTTTCTATTATCGGATCTTTCTTGTGAATTAACAATATATTTATCTATTATATAAGAATAATCAGTAAATTCAGACTGATATTGTTTATTTCTCTCTTGTAATTGTATTTCTTGATCTAAATAGAGCTTTTTTCTTGAAATGGATGGTAATCAAAATCATTTTCATCCATGAAGAAAGGATCCTCTGTCTGTGGAATGGTTTGATTCTTCATCTCTTCTTTCTTTTTCTTTTTGTCCTTCTCTTTAGACTTCTTCTCTTCCTCTTTTTTCTTATCAGATTTTTTCTTTTTCTTTTCTTCTTTAAAATCTATTTTTTGACACTTTTCTTTCCCTTTTTTCTTTTTCTTTTTGTCAGTTGACTCTTCTTTTTTCTTCTTTTTCTTTTTTTCAGACTTTTTTGTTTCAACTTCACTTTGTGCGTCCAATTTTGTCATGTCAGAAAGGTACTTTAATTTTGATAAGTTTACTTCTTCAGTTTCATTTTTTCTGCAGAAACAAAATATTGTTGATAGAAAATTGGTTATGCAGCTCATTGCTTGATCATAAAATTGTGGTTTTCTTTTTGTGACCAATTAAATTTGTAAAAGAGAGAATTTTGATTGATGTAATGTTTTTATGTCAAAATCAACCAATAAAAATAAATGTGATCAAAAATAGGCAGTAAATAATTATTTTTTAAATTGTCAGTTTTAGCCTGTAGCTCAGTCGGTTAGAGCGCTGTACTTATATGCTTGCATATGCCAATAAGCGAAAGCTGAGATATGCAGATGTCGAGGGTTCGAATCCCTCCAGGGGCACTTTTTTATTTAAATTTAGATTTAAAATAAATTAAAAATATTTTTTGCATTAAACTTTTTAATTTTCTATAAATGATTTTTATTTCCTTTTTAAGATAACGATCCTAAAATGATAAAGTCAATATTCGTTTGATTAACCAATTAAATGTAATTTTTCTGTAAAATCAACTGACAATAAGACATTTTTAGAAAACTTATATTTTCCTTAAAAAAAGAAACCCAAAAAAATTAAATCCATCAAAAAAAATTAATTAAATTTTTTACCTAAAAATAATTTATGAAAAAAAATAAAATTATCAAATATAATCCCATAAAATGATAAGCAAACTTATAGTCAAGTTTCATCCCCAATTGTACATTTATATCTTATCTATTTGACTTATTAACAGAAAAATTAAACAAAATAACAGGGTATTCATTAATAACAGGTATAACCTTATTTTCTTTAACTATGGTATTTACAGGGTCAAGGTTTAAAAGAGCTTCTCTTACTTTTATTTTCTTTGGTAGCTTTGTTAATTTATGCATATTTTTGATAGATTTTTTTAATTTATCATTTGAGGACAACAAATTCTGTCAAAAATTTCTTAAATGAAAGTTTTTATTTGAAAATTAAAACATTTTTAGAAAATTATAATATTTGGTTATTAATAATATCCCTTATACTTTCACTAATCCTAGCCTGGGCTGTTAATATGTTACTACTTTTAGGAAAAATAATCATAAGTTTGTATTTAACCACCAGAATATTACAAATAAATTTAAACGAGCTAAACTTAAAATCAATTTACCAAAAAATCTCTTATTTTTATTAGCCATGCTTACCATTTTTCATAACTTTGTTCATTTTTTTTTAGATTAGCTTTTAAAATAATTTTAGTTTTTCTGTTCTCTTTCCACGGATCTTTTTATACTCTCTTTTTCATGCAAAAAATTAACCAATTATTTTATATTTGATTTTGGGAAATCTTTTTTTTTTTACTGAAGAGTTATCAGTTAATTTTAAATGTCAAATATTTTTCATTTTGGTTGGTTTTTTCTTTAACAATTTCTGGGTTTATTGTTAGATTTATTTGTAAGGAAGTTAAGGAATGACTCATTAAAATAAAACAAATAATTTATTATGTTTTAATTTATTTTTTATGTTTTGATACAATTTCTTGATAAATAAATATTTATAATTTACTTTTAAAATGATTTATGTAATATTTTGATTAAAAATGATAAATAATAAAATACTCTTATAAAATTTTCTGATATTTAAATTTATTTATATCATAAACAATAATTTATAAAACTAATTTACTTGACATGCATTATAAAAAATGACATGTATTAAAAAGATAAATTCAATAAATTATTTATTTATTTTAAATAACTTTAAATAAACTGCAAAATTTTAGCGAAAAACTAATTCTATTTTTTTTATTGATTCTGTCAAAATCTTATTTAATTTATCAAAGCATAAAATCACAAAACAAAATTCCATCTAAGAATAAAAAAAATAAAAAAAACCAATCCATGTTTACAAAAGTGTTGGGTAATTGGTTAGTTTTTAAAAATATTTCAATTAATGATTTATTCAATGCCATCTCTCTCCTTTAAATTCGTTTACTATTTATATCTTAATTTGGAGGGATATTTGGCGGTAAAACCAGCCAATCATATTTTACTACATTCTCCCCCTCTCCACAATTTTAAATGCTTAGTATGTACCCAACCTTTCACTCCATTTAAACGAACCCATTGTCCTTTTTTACCAACCTTCTTAATCTTGTAACTACCTTTAAACTGTCTTTCAGTTTTAACTGCGCCAAAATTCTTTAGAAATACGCGGTCTCCTATTTTAAATCTTTTTTCATTGGAATATATAGTATTGTAGGTATTTTTATTGACATCACCTTGCTCCTTGATGATTGTGATTGGAAAATTTTTTACTCCCCCTGTGGTATATAATATTTAATCTTCTTTTTATAATTTTAAGGATCCTTTTTAATGGTACTGTCTTATAGAGTCTCAAAGTTTGAATGATTGTTCTATTTAAACGTTCAGATATTCCATTTGAACTAGGAGTGTAAGAAGGAATAAATAAATGTTTTATAGTGTTGTTTTTTAGGAAATCTCTTAGAGACTTTCCACAATAAGATCTTCCATTGTCACTAATTAATATTTCAAATTTACCATAATTATTTATCCATTTTTTAAAGCAATTCACTACTTCTTTTTTCACTTAGACTTTGTAAAATATAAACTTCTGTAAAACGACTAAAAACATCTGTTATAGTTAAAATATAAAACTTCTTACAACTTAATAAGGTATTAAAATCATCTGATTCGAATGGGCCTACAATGTCACTTGAAACTCTCTCAAACTTTCCTTTACTGCTTATTCTTATATTTGGGGTTTTATTGTGGTGGTATATTCTTTTGTATTGTTTACATTTTTTGCATCCACTTATAATTTTTACTATTTCTGAATGTAAATTAGGGATATGTATGTATTGTTTAATGGTATAATATGTTGCGTTGATACCAGGGTGTCCTATACTTTCATGTACAAATCGTATAACTGCATGTATATGCTCTTTCTTTGTAAATAGTATTTTTTCTTCTTTGTTATATTGTAACTCTGATTTAGGGATACCATATTTTCTTTTTATTGTTTGAATAATTAAATCAATAATTTCTTTTTCTTTTTTATTTTTTTTTATTTCGCAATTATTTTTATCTACCCCAATAAAGCATACATCTCTTGATATAAAATCGGCTACTTTATTCTCATTTCCAGAAACATGTGTCAATGTAAAATCAAACTCATTTAGTAGTACTTTCCAGCGATTGAACCTTTTGTTAGGATCAAATTTCATCGAAAGTATATTTTTATTATCAGTTTTAATAATAATCTTATGTCCTTGTACTATATTTCTAAAATATTCTAGAGCCTTTAATATTCCTAAAAACTCCTTTTTCAATGACGGAATAATTTACCTCAGAAGTATTTAATTTCTTGCTGTAATATCCTAATATACCATGTTTTTGATACAAAACGGCTCCTAGACCATAATCAGAAGCATCTGTTTCCAAGTAGAATAATTCGTTAAAGTTTGGGTATCGTAAACCAGAACATTCTTTTTATTTCGTTTAATAACTGTTTGATTTTTTGAGTTTCTTCTTTATTCCAATTTAGATTTTTAGATTTGGTCTTTTCCGATGTCCTTAATTTATCTGTAAGTATTTTAGTTCTGTCTGAGAATTTATGTATAAAGTTCCTATACCAATTAATTCTACCTATTAATTTTTGTAATTGCTTGATTGTTTTCGGGGTTTCAAATTTGAATATCAAACTATCTAAGTTATTTTTAAGAATAATGATTTCATTCTCTGTTACTTTATGACCAAGTAATTCTATTTCCTTTTGCTTAAACATGCTCTTGTCCCAATTAATTCTAACATTATTCTCATACAGTTGTTTAAGCACTTGATATAAACAATTATCATGCTCATCCTCATCCAAACCATAAACAACTATATCATCAACATAGACGAAACAATTTTTACAATTGCTTAATATATTTTCAACAACCTTTTGAAATAGTTTTGGTCCTGACTTTAAACCAAAAGGTACTCGCTGATAAGCAAAATTTCTATTTAAGATTACAAATCCTGTAAGATCTTTTGAATCTTCATGTAATACTAATTGATTGAAGCCATTTTTTAAATCAATTTTAGAAAAATATTTATTATTTCCTAAAAGTTGAAGATTTTCAAATATCTTAGGAATACTAGTATTAAGATCATAAATATTTTCATTAATTCTTCTGTAGTCAATGACGAGCCGAATGTCGCCATTTTTCTTAGAAATTATAAAACCTGGACTGGAATTCAATGTAGATTTTTCTACTATTATTTTTTCTTTCAATTGTCTGTTAAGTTCTTTTTGTATTGGCTCATAAAACTTAAATGGTAAATTAAAGGGCGATGATTGGATTATACGGGTATTATCTTTTAGGATAATTTTAACTGGTTCTACTTTAATATTTTCTAATTTATTGTTATTCAGTTTGTATAATTTAAATAAATTCAAAAGCTTATCTTGTTCTTTATTCAGAAATACTTTATCCATAATTAATTTATCTGGACTTTCAACATATTCTCTTTGCTGAGTACAAAAAGCGATTTCAACAGCGTCCAAAGTAATTGTTTGTTCTTTTATATTAATAATACTGTTATGATTTAATAAAAATTATTGCCTACTAGCATTTCAACAGGTAAATCATCCAAAACATAAAATTCTTCAGTAAGAGTAAAGTTATCGCTTAAATCAACTGCGATCTTAAGTTTCTTAGACACTTTCATTTCTTGTCCATTGGCTGTGAGTAATGTTACTATCTTGTTTGTTTCTTCTGGTATGCAGTTCATTAAAGTACAAAATTTGGAACTAATAAAACTTTTTGTTGATCCTGTATCAATTGTCATTTTTAAAGCTTTACCATTCACCTTACAAAGTATTTCAAACAATTCTTCTTTAAATTCCTTTTCCCTAATGACTAACCCTTTTGAATTATTTTGTTGATCTTTATTATAAGATTTATTCGATTTATCCCTAGTGTTATGCTTATCATCTTTCAGATATGTATTGTTTAACCTGTTCAAATAACAGTCTTTAGTAGAATGCCCCAACATCCTATGTATCTTGCAGAATAAATTATTCTTCTTTTTTCAAATTTATTGCTAATAAAATTATTGTTTAAATTGCTGTAGATTTTATCTTTACTATTCTTGTTGTTCTCATTAATTTTGACTAATAAGGTTTTTTCTAAATTTAAAACATGATTAATTTTTTCATCAAGGGTTACACCACTGTTTCTTGATAGCTCAATTGTAGTATGAAGACCTAAACCTCGTAAAATACATTCTTCAAATTTTCTTTGGTACTCACACTTAGTTAAATCTGCTGCTATACTATATGGTATAAGTTTTAATTTTATTTCTTCTACATA